CCTGGTCCAGCTGGTGCTCGGCAGGAGTGGTGAGCATGCATGGCAAGAGGTGGAAAGGCTGAACAAGGCAAGGGCCTTCCTTTTTCTGCAACAGCTAGCTGCTATTTCTGCTCAAGTCCTGGCAGGAACCCATTACCCACTAAGTTCTAGATGGAAAAACTGATCTTTTTCTTTGATCACAATACAGCTTATCCCCAAGGATTTCTAAGTGGACAAAGAATATACCTGCCAATATTCACTGAATTAATGAATGAGTTTGTACTCCTTTGGGGCTTACTTCCAACTCTACAGAATGAAATAGAAAATATCTCAAATATTTGAGACACTAATTATGGGATCTCCCTCCTAGTTTGCTAAAGGTTGTTTACAACAACAAAAAAAAAGGGCTTATGTGGAAAATGGTAGAAAGCTTTTCAGTAGTTGGTGGAATTAAAGGTAACCTAAACAAGCATGATTTGTTCACGTGAAAAGTACTCTGCTATATCTGCTCCAGCAGCCAGTGCTTAATTTTGTAAATCTGATATCCTTCCACCAGCATGGGAAATAGTTACTGGTTTTAAGGGATAGAAATAATAAGTTGAAATTAAAACCGGCAAAGCAAATTTAAGCATCTCATGCTATTTTGAAGGACTATTAAGAAAATAATAGGGATGAGATGAACAAGAAAAAAGGTGGATAGAATGACAAAGATTGTCAGGAATACATAATTATTTCTGTGCTACTCCAGTGATTCTGAAGGAGAAATCCTCAGCATGTAAAAAAGGTGACCAATGAAAAAATTTGTCATAGAATCTATGGAGTCATGAACATCAGGAAGAAAGTGTTTAACAACACTTGTTCCTTGTCTCTTCCATGACAAAATGGGGGCGCGTCACATTTAAATGAGCAGGTGACTTGCATAAAACAAATTAAAAGAGACACTTCTTACCACTCATGGTTAAAGCTTAGGAGCATTTCACCACAGAATATGTTTAGTGGTGTAAATGTACATGATTTCAAAAAACTACAGGACAAATTAATGGAATAAATTCTCTCACAGGCCGTTAAATTCCAATATTATCTCCACTTTAAAACAAACAAATTAACAGCTTGAAACCTAGATTTCTGGCAGCTAGGAATTAATGTTACACACTTGTCTTGTTCCTATATTCTTCCCTAAACATCTGGTCTTAGCTGATGTTGAAGTCAGTTTATTCTGCTAGATGGGTCTTGGTCTAACCCAGTAAAAATGCTTCTTAAGATCAGAACATCATGAGGACATTAAATCACATTTTACAGAAATTGAAAGTCCAAAGGGCCTTAAAGGTAGTCACTTTCACTTGTCAGAACAAATGTACATGGCCCACAAGTATTATAGAACAAGGAGAAAAAATCCACAAACCAACAAACAAAATAAAACCCCGACAAAATCCAACCCAACCAAACAAATAAACCAAACCAACTTGGTCAAGAAGAAAAAAATGCTTGACAGGAGTAGAGGGGAGATTACCTCCAAGGATGATAAACCCTTTTTCAGCAGTAGACATGGCTGGAACCCCAGATTTTCTTTAGTTTTTCAGGTGACTGCTGCCAATCCTCTCCAATGCATTGTGATCACACATTGTAATCCTGGCCTCCATAGAAGGTTTAAAGGTAGTGTTACCTTCCCCAAAACTGCGTGGCAAGAGTAGGGGAAAATAAACACCCAAAAATGTGGAGATAAAATGGCGGTCACTGTTATACTGGGCAAAGAAGACCCCAGCTGTCACTGTTACTATTATTGTCTCTGTCATGGACACCATCATCCTTTTGCAAGGTCATTGCTGGAGCATTTATTTGTTCTACGAGCAGCTCAGAATTCCATCCAATCTTTGACCCAAGACACAACATTCACAGAAAATGAAAATTATTCAAAAAATGGTTCTATATATTAAGAAAAAGTCCAGTTCTGCAGCTCCAGAAAACTCAGAGCACCTCAGCCAGTGTGCCTGTGTGGCTGCTTGAAAATGCTCTGCATAGTGCACAGGGTAATCTTCGATTTTTAATAAAGGCCTGGGCTGCACTGGTAAAATGTGGATGTTCTGTATATGCATGCAGGAATTGTGTGTATAGTATATAACAAAAATTACAATTCATAATAATCTAAAATTTATGATTAATTTTAATATGCCCAAACAAAAAAAGCGTCAATCCTAGCTGAGTAACTGTATTTCTCATCCCGCTTCTGTGCAACTGTGGTTTTAGATGTGTGATATATCAGATCATTCACAACTAGCAGGAAACCGTAGTAGAGAGCCCCCAAGATCCTTGGTCAATGGTGGTCATTTGGTGGTTGGGTATGTGGGCAGAGAGCTCCGTCACGGAGATGGTAAGGTGGTCCAGGAAGTTCCAGCCCTTTCACGGTGTGGCTCCAGAATTCTTCTTTAGAGTCTCTGGGTCCCGCTCAGTCGCTGAGCGGGGGGATTCCTGCCCGACCCTGCCTTTTTGGGGGGGCTGCTTTGGACAGGGAGGTCACGCCGGGCCCGGCACACGGTCCCACCGCCGGCGCTCCTTGCCGGTAGATGGCATCCCCCGTCCGCGCACAGCAATGCCCGGAGCGGAGCGGCGCGCAGCGGCACTGACCGCGAGGTGGGAGACAGGGCAAAGCCCGCGGCCCCGCCGCTGGCCGGATTTTACCAAGGGAAATGCCACCCCGATCGGCCACGTCCAGAAAGAGCCGCACCCCAGCCGAGGCTCGCGGGAGCTCGGTGCTGTCGAAGAGCCGCCGGTGTCACACGCTCAGTGAAACACCCGTGCATTCTGCTAGAGGAGGATCGAGGGCAGACCCCGGCTCTTTTGGTTTGTCACTACAGTGGTTCTTCCCTGTGCATTTTTAAACTTCACCGTTCTTCAGACTTTAGAGCATGATTTTTTAAAGATTGTTTCAAACGTTCAGGCTAGGAGAAGATAAAGAATAAAAGGGGGGGGGGAAGGAAGCAGAAAGATAAAATAGTAACTCTTTGTAAAGACGGGAAACCTCTTGAAGACAAAGAATCCTATCTACCTTTCTTTAGTAACTTCCCGAGGACCTTAAAAACTAATTCGAGGAGAGATTATATGAACTGTAGGAACTGTAAATCTAAGTGATATCTATTTTTGTGCAGGAAAAAAAAAAAAAGCAATTTGCTGGATCTAGAGGGTTGGTTTTTTTCTCTTTATTCCCCCCCCCCCTTCCCCCCCCCTCCGTTTTGTAACTTTTGGTGGTATTGTCTTGCAGGCGCCTTAGTAGTGAACAAAATGTAAATAGGATTATTTGGAAATAGTAGAAAGGATTATGTTGTAAATCCATGGAACTGGGTTTGAAACAGGGTGGCTTGTAGCTTTGGGTTAGGACAGTATAGCGACAAACTAAAACGTATTTCGAGAAATTGGATGTGCACGTTGTTTGCAAAGTGTGATTTGATGAATGAGACTTCATGCATCAGTCTGCCCTTCTCAGGACGATTTCTGCCAAAGAAAGAAATGCTCCTTTACTCCCATCCCAGTCGGATCTTGATTGCGGTTTATCCTGCCAGAACTGGGAAAGATGGGATTTTTCAAAGCCTTTCTTTTTAAGACCATGGTAATTGCATTTCTGTCCAAATTTCTGGGGGGTTTATTTTGTTTGGGTTCTTTGGTGGAGTTTTTGTCTCTTTTTTTTTTTTTTTTTTTTTTTTTTCCCTGCCAGCCCTTACATAAAGGGGGCCCGGTCTTCTGTCGTATCATAGATCACCTGAAAAGGGGAACAGTGCCACTAAATTAGCAAGCAATCCTCTGTCGCTTTCTCAGGGGTGTTGCTCCTACTTAAGCCAAAGTACCATTCTAAAGGCCAGTGAATTTATTTCCTTTACATACAAAGGAGGTAACGCTAATTCTCTGTGTTTCTCATAGTGGAGGGAGTGGAGTGTTTCTCATAATGGAGGGAGCTGCTTCTCTCTCTTTAATAACCATAGCCTTACAATTTGACTGAGGATAGTGGTGTGTTTTGCAGACTGTTCTTTTAGAGTTTGTGAGGTCGATAGCAAGAGATATTTTATTTCATTCTAAAGTAAATTAAACTCTGGAGAGTGATCGGGGAGAGGTAGGGAAGGATGTCTCTCAACCATTCTGCGAACAGAAGTCTGAAGTTTATTAACTCACCATCTCCCTCTCCTAGACCCTCCGGAGGGTTTCTGGGAAGATGCTCCTACACTTTGCGACAGACTTTTTTTTTTTTTTTTTTCTTCCTGCGGAGGGTCAAGTGTTATCTTTATTTTCCCCCTTTTCCACTAAATATGGCACCGGTCCCCCCGCGGCCCCCCAGAGCCCCTCCTGGATGGGGTGAGGCCGGGAGGGCCCAGACGGTGGCGAGGCGCCCTTCTTGGCCGGGGGGGGAAGACTCGCCGGGTTCTGACGCTGGGAGCCATGTGATGGCCCCCTCGCTAAAAGGCGGGGAGGAAGGCTGCCCTCCCTGGGACTAAGCCCCAGCCTTTTCACCGTGTTTCCTAAGGCCCAGCAAGCCATCCCCTACGCCCTCCCTCCTCGCCAGCCTCCTCCCCTCTCCTCCTCCCAGGACTAGGCGCGCTCCCTCCTGCCCCGCATCCATTAATGTCTGGGGGCTGAGGTGAGGAGAAAGAAGGGGAAACCGACTTCCAGGAGAGACGGCACTACCTCCCTGCGCCCACAATAACAGATCCCAACCGAAAAAAAAGCGGAAAAGATCCCCAAAAGGGGGGAAGGGAAGGGAAGGGAAAAAAGAGAAAAAAAGAAATCCAAACGGCAGCAAAAAATACCCCGAAACAAAACCCTGACTAGCCGCCGCCTCCGAGCGGGCGGCGGGAGCGCTCCAGAGGCGCGGCAGCGGCGCTGGGGGCCGGCGCGGCTCGGAGCGGCCCGCCTGCCCGTGGCGGCGGCGGGGCGGCTCTCCGCGGAGCGGCGCGGAGGCCTGGCGGCGGCGGGGAAAGCGCCCGCTCGCCCGCCGCGCCGCGCCGACCGCCACCGATGCGCTGCCCCGCCGCCGCGCCATGACCCTTAGCTCGGAGATGTCCGAGGCGTCGACGCTGGCTGAGGAGACCGACATCGATGTGGTGGGCGAGGAAGACGACGAGGAGGACGACGAGGAGCCACGGACCCGCCGCCGCCGCCGCTCCTACGCCGAGGATGAGGAGGAGGACGAGGACGACGACGAGGAAGAGGACGAGGACGATGTGGGCGACCTCCACGCCGCCGCCCTGCTGCCTCGGTCGCCCGTGCGCGGCGGAGGCGTAGGTGGCGGCGGCGGGGCGGGCGGCGGGGACGCTGCCGGTGGCTCTCGGCCCCCCTCGCGGGGTGGCCCGCAGAAGGCGACGGCGGGCGGCGGCGGGGCGGGCGGCGGCGGCGGCGGGGCGGGCAGCGGCGGCGGCAAGAACAGCCTCGTGAAGCCGCCCTACTCCTACATCGCTCTCATCACCATGGCCATCCTGCAGAGCCCCAAGAAGAGGCTGACGCTGAGTGAGATCTGCGAGTTCATCAGCGGGCGCTTTCCTTACTACCGGGAGAAGTTCCCTGCGTGGCAGAACAGTATCCGCCACAACCTCTCCCTCAATGACTGCTTCGTCAAGATCCCCCGGGAGCCCGGCAATCCTGGCAAGGGCAACTACTGGACGCTTGACCCCGAATCCGCCGACATGTTCGACAACGGGAGCTTCCTGCGCCGCCGAAAGCGCTTCAAGCGGCAGCAGCTCCCGGCGCCCGAGCTTCTGCTGCGCGCCGTGGACCCCGCCGCCTTCCTCCCGCAGCCTCCGCCGCAGCCCCCGCAGCAGCCGCCCTGCGCCTACGGACCCTACGGCTGCGGCTACGGTCTCCAGCTCCAGCCTTACCACCCCCACTCCGCCCTCTTCGCCTTCCACCACCCCTCTCCGCCGCCCCGCCAGCCCCCTGCCGCCCCCGGCAGCGCCCCCGGTGCAGCGCTGCCCCCCGCCGCCGCCGCGCCGCCGGGCCCCTTGCTGCCGGCGGCGGAGCTGGCACGGACGCCCTTCGGCTACGCGCACCCGCTGGGCCCGGCGCTGGCGGCCTCGCTGCACTCCGCCAAGCCCGGCAGCGGCGCGGCGCTGGCCCGCTCGCCCTTCTCCATCGAGAGCATCATCGGGGGAAGCCCCGGCCCCGGCCCCGGCGCGGGCAGCAGCTGCGCCTCGCAGTCGACCGCGGCGCCGGGGCTGGCCCGCTCGCTGGGGAGCGCCGGGAGCGGCCTGCCCCCCGCCGCCGCCCTGCCCGCCACCCCCGGCTTCGCGGCACGGATCTCTAACTGTTAAGTGTTTGGGAGTCTTTCCGAAGGTAGGATCTGGGGTATCTCCTTTCTCCGCCGCTCGGACGCCCGGCGGACGCTGCCCGCAGGGGCTGCCTGTCTTTGCGTGGGGATAATTGTGACGGGGCTCGGGGGCCGTCCGCCGCGAGCGACGGACCTCCCGTGACCTTCACTAGTGCAAAGCCAGGTGTAGATCTAGATACTGCATGGGCAGGCGGTCACTACATCGGAAAGTTACTCGCTACTCCTTAAAAAGAAACAAACATGGTGATAAATAATGTCTCTAAACCGCTGAAGTTCAGAGATTCTCAGGTCTAGGAGCTTGAAAACAGTAATGTACAGGAGAAAAAAAAAAGGCTTGAGGGAGGACAGCAGAGCAATACTTTTTCATTTAGTACACTTGTCTCATGTACTTTTATAAAGAAAAGATTAACGTGTTTACACAGAAGAAAGTCAAGATTATCATTTCTTATTTTAACCTGTGTTTTGTATTATAATAGACTTACGGAGTTTTTTATTTTGTACTTTATGCGTATTCTTTACAAGGAATATTGTTAAAATTACTGGCAAGTATTATTGTACCATTTCAATGTAAAATTTTTACACATTTTCAAAAATAAAATTTTTAACTTTCAAAAAAAAAAAAAAAATCAAAACCAAACCCAAAGACCAAAGGAGCCCAGCCAAACAATTGGCTTTGGATCCTTCCCTCCTTAGCACTTCTCCTTTCTTTGGGACACTAATATTTTTTTCTTTGGGATTAATAGCACAATAGTCAAGGAATATTCTAGCTTGAAATTTATTATGTGCAGATTTGACTGCAAAGAAGAAAATAAAAATACGATCTTTGCAGGCAATGCATTGTTAACCCTAGAAGATAAAGAATGATTAAAAAAACCCAAAACAAACTAAACAATAAAAAAAAACCAAAACAAAGCAAAAAAACCCGCACAACACCAACAAAACCCCCCCCAACAAAACAAAAAAAACCACTCTACAAAAAACAGCAGGAACGAAAGAGGGGATAAATAGAAATAGGTCTCTCTGGAGGGAGTAAAGCCCAGTTCTGTAAGTCGCCAACCAGGGGATTGATTAAAACGCCGGTTTAAAACTATTTTTATACTTTTGGGTGTGTTTTAAATCACAACTGCATCATAGTTTGGTTTCCAAGAGGCCAAAGGAAAATACTACTAATAAAGGGCGTACATTGAACTTAAGAGAGATTTGTTCTAGACACTTATGTTTCTGTGATGATGATAATAGTGGCATGTGTTTCTACTTTTCAATACATAAAATATAAAATGCGCTTTGTAATATCCTCGTGTGATGAGTTGATTAAGTTTATAAGCTGTCGAAATAAGGATGTACAAAACAAACCATGAAAGCAGTTCTTCTGATTCCAAACAGTTTTTTTAACAGCATAAGGTCCATAGATATCTATTTTATAGACTAAAAAAAAATTTTACCAAAAAATCCGGCCTCAAATATTCAGAGCTTTTATATGGAAAAGAGAATCGCATGTTTTAAGAGTAGGCATGTGAATGTTTGTTGTGGGCTCGGAATACGCATTTTTCAAACCAGGGAGGCGCTTTTCAACTACGACTGTATTTATAACTATTTAGGAGACTCGGGGATCAAATATGTGAATTTTCATAATAAAAAAATAATAATAATAAAAAGGGAGGGATGCCTTTTAGTGCTCTTTGGTCTGAGGAGGGGTTTACATGTAGAAGTATTTCGTCGCCTGGGTTTTAAATATTCTCATAGATGGAAAAGTGGTGATTCTCCGTTTTGTTTGTAGCAATGCTGTGTTAAAATAGTGGGTTTCAAAAAGCAGAAAGACTGGACATAAGATCTCTGCTGGGCTCCATTTGCACTCCGCAGCTGGAAGGCCTCTTTGGATGTTCCGGGTTCCTTAGCAGAAAAATAAGTAAAGTCCGTTCTAATTTCTAAAACAAAAGGGAAAATACCCCAGAGGCACCGTGTACGTATTCTCCGGGGAGAGTGAGTCTTTTTCACGAGAGACCGATTAATTCAGTTTCCCCGGGACTGGCCGGGCGATGCGCCGGGCCGACACGGGCCGGTGCAGCGCGGAGTACCGAGCTAAGCTGCGGCCCCCCTCGAAGAGGCAGATAAAATCAAACAGGGAAATGTTTTACGGGAGAGAAGGCAGCTGTCGCCTTGCGGCGGTGCGAGGCTTCCCGAGGAGGGGTGCTGCTGGCCCTCGGTTTGGGTTCTGTCTGCTCGAGTCCTAGGGATCTCCACGAGCAGTTACATGAGAGGGGTAGATTCTGGCGACCCACCCTGTTTGTTTCTCTTGGCTTCTACGCAGCAGACCCCGGCTACGCAGTAGACCCTGGGGAGCCCGGCAACCTCCCCCACGCAGAGTCCAGCCCGGCCCACGCCGGTGGACAGTGGGGTCTGAGTGTGCCCACTGCCCATCCCTCAGGTCTCCTCAGAGATATATGGCAAGCAAACTGCTTGGTTACTTTTTCTTTCCATGTTTTTCGCCGGTTGCCTCCATCCCGTGCGGACAAAACCTTCCCTTGGGAGTTGCTAGGGAAGGTGACAGGAGCAAATTGCAGTAGGTGGTATGGATTTTTTTGCCTGTTCTCCTCGAGTCGGCGGAGAAGCCGCCTGGCCTCGATCCCGGTCCCGAGGGTCCCTGTTTCCCCGCTGCTGCCGCAGAGCAGGTGCTGCCAGGAAAGGAGCCGGCCCCACAGCCCTTTGATGAGCTCGCAGCACCGCCGGGCCGCAGCGCCCCATTCGCATGCTAATGGCCCGCCGTGCTCTCCGCAGCTTCCAAGACTAACAGAGAAGCTAACGGTGTAGTCCTCTCAAGGACTGAGCCCGGACGAACGATACTTCCAAAATAGTCTGGACCCTAAACAATCTGGTAAGACATGCAGTATAGTGTCGTCTCCTTCTCCTCCCAAAGTGTGGATTCATTAACCCGTCTTCTTGCTCATCCTATCCCCGTAGGGCTATGAGAGATGAATTACTGGATCTGAATTGGGAGGGGATTGCTCTATAAGGGGGCTAATGTTTCAATCAGTTCATCCTGAAGGACCACACAAAAAGAAACTTCTTCGTTTATGGTGCTATTATGCGGAGTTTTAATCTAGGGATAGATTTAGCCAAATGTTATCTATTGGGAATTTAATGAAGCCCTTATGTATTCAATCGTCTTTTATGCCACACACAGTGTCTCTATCCAGAAACGTTTCCTTCCACATAGTTCTTTGTTTCTGATGGTTGATTTATATACTTTTAATTAGGTTTTTAAGAAATTATTTCTTTTCAAGTATCTTGTATAAAGTTTCTCTTAAGCAGGACTGTGTTAGGTCCCTTCCCACATCCCCTATAAAAGAGGTTTCCCCTTCCTTCCCTGGTTTTGAATACGATTAGTTTGCACGTCCACACACTGCACCCTTCCCGCTGAAGCGCTCTTGCTTCCTTGTGCAGAGGGGCCGGACATCGTGCCCGCTCTGTCGACACCGCCGTGGGCTGCGACGGGCTGCGCAGCCCGGGGGGTCCAGCCGAGCCCCGTGGCTCCGTGCACGGCTCCCCAGCCCTGAAGCTGCTCTCAATCCAAACTATTCCCACCCGCACCTCCTTTGGACCACACCTTCGATCTGGTTTGTATTTTAGGTGCAGTGAGAAGCACTTCTGGGGTCAGCGGGGTGCACATCCCGTGCTTGCAGGCTGGTTTCAAATACCCAGGACCGGCCCCATCACCCAGTCCGTCAGATGAAAGAGGGGAGCGAGGCCCTCACCTGCTCTCAGCTGCTCCCTTTCTTGCAGCGCTGGTGGCGAGGGCAGAGCGCACGGTCGCCCCCGTAGAGACTGAGGCCTGTTCCGGCGATGTGTGGGAAAGTGGATCTGATTTAACTGTCCCTTGGCACGGCCCGGAGACTCCGCTCCGTATGTAATGCTTTCCCTCAGTACTTACAGTAAGTACTGCAGTAGTCTCTGATAATATTGTATTTGACAGAAGTGACGGAAATTATGATCTTGGCCAAGCCCTCGCTGCTCTGGAACTTGCTAACCAATACAGATCCGTTTTTCAGCTTGTTCACAGTGGTTTCCCCACCTGCAGTGGTATTTCCTCTGCTTCCCTCGGCGACTGCCGGCCGCACACACCATCGGGACCCGAGCACCGGCGGGGACCGGCTGCCCTGTTCCCGCAGCTGGGCATATCCTGAGCAGGTAGGTGTCCCCCTCCACCGTTCCTCACCTCCAAGCCCCAGTAACCTGCTGCAGGTGACTGCAAGGCCTCTCCACCCTTCTCTGAAAGTCCTTTCTCCTTTGCAACCCTCACCGTGAGAGGCACGTCGAGCAGCGGCCGTTGTTCGCTGCCCCTTCCTGCGCTGCAAAGCACGACCAAGACGTGGAGGAGGCATTCACGCAGAAGCGTGTGTACGTGTGTGCAGGAGAATGGCGCTTCAGAAGGTAACCAGCTGCTGCCGGATCCCCGCTGCGGCAACAACCGTGCTCGGTGCCTCATTGCGCAAATGGGTGCCCGCCGATTTTGGGGAGAGACGGAGAAATGAACGCGAGTTCCAAATCGGTAAACCTCTTCCTCTTGTTTTTCACTTGAGGAAGAACTCTGTTCCCCGCCGCCGGTCCCCGCCTGGAGGTGTACTGCGGGCAGCCGGCCCTGAAAGCACGCCGGCCCCTTCCCAGCAGCTTGGCTCGGCTTGCTCGGCTCGGCTTGCTCACTCACCGGCAAGACCGAAAACAGCAAAGGCAGAGGCTGCGGGGCTGGGAAGGCACCCGCGCCCAAACTCGCGACCAGCCCGGCTGCCTCAGTGCGGGCGGCGCCGAGGGCTGTGTGCAGCTGCACGGCGGGGCTCAGCGGCCGCGGCGGTGGGAGCGGGGAGGCAGGCACCCGGCAGCGTCTCGGCGGGACACACCGCGGGAAGCCCACGGAAGATGGATAGCTTACGAAGATGTGCCCTTAGTGCAGCGCTCCCGCTCCACCAGCTGCCGCAGTGAGAGACACAG